AGTTTTCATTTACTGTATAAAAAGGCACATAACCATTTAAATAAAAAAGCAGATGTTAAAGTGACTAAACTTTTTCCATTTATTTCTTTTTTTCAGTTAAGATTACGTCAAACATGACAAACATAAAAATGCATATTTTCAAAGCACCTCACTGGACCTTTAAGGGTGCTTTCACATCTGTAGTTCGCTTCATTTGGTCCGCACCAAGGGTAATAAATGATACATTGTAGCATCTTCTGCCGTCTTTGGGTCGTTTTCACATCACACTACTGGCTTTGGTCCGAACCAGTTGAAACGAACCAAAATGCAGTCATCTGACAAAATCCACATCACTCATTGGCCAGATGTTGTTGAACATATTTCCTAAACTGCTTATTGATTGGTTAGAATTCACGTGTGGGAAAAATGCCAATGAACTCCCGCAGGTAAACAAAACCGGCAAACACAAAATGTCGCTTTTTACTCTGGAGGGACGACTGTGCTGGCTGATTGTATGCCTGCTGTAGACAAACTATACATTTCGAGAATGAAGCGTGGCTGTGGCTGCGGCTAGAAAACAGTGTTTTAATGCATCGCTCGTCACTTCAGGAGGAGGCGTGAATTAATTTAGCTAAACTGCGACATGATCATCTTGCGGAAATATTACCAACGATCCATCAGGTAGTATAATGGCTGTTTCTCAATATGCGTTCTTCAGCGGTCTTGCGTCCTCGTGTTCTCGTGCAACGTCATCATCAGCTGCCTAAGTTCAGTTCCAATACTCAAGACCGCAAGTACGGAGGACGCGTGAAACTTCCCGGATGTGTTCTTGATATCGAGGACACACTGATGTAGACTTGAGCACCGAACTCGCTCTGGAAGTCCCAGAAGTCATTGCGACTGGAAGTGGGAAGCGCAGCATTTTATTTAGATTTATTATTAAAGTTCAGAGATATAATTTATTTAGCTCAGGAGTTTCCCTAAATGAAACGGTGAAAGTAAACATTAACATGAACATCTTAATAAAGGAATAAACACATTAAGGGTGTTTGTTTGCTGAAATTCGTAATAAAATTTGTTTTATTTATATTGTGCAGAGTATATTTATTATGCTTTTATGCAAAGTATTTATTTTGAAGAGGGGAAAAAACAATAAATCGTTGTATGAAGGCTGTAATGTTCAAATAATTTCCATTTAAAATGCGTGAAGGTCAAGTGACCATCAGGAAGAACGCGGCATCTCATTTCTCAAAGGACGCGTTCTCTGCCCTCGCGGTCTCCTGAGTTCATTCTTCCGAAGACACCTGGCAAGACCGGTCTCCACAAGAACGCAAGTCCATTCTCTGCGTTCTTGGAATTAAGAAACAGCCAATGTTTTCCCCTCTCCCTCTCTCTGTTGGTAAAGCGCTGTCAACAAATATTTTTCCTCCATATCCCATAATGCACAGCGCATCGGCCTACGGCAGCTGAATTGGTCCAAAAGGTGCAGGACTTTTTGCGGTTGGAACTGTTTTAGTACGGATCATATTCTCACCACAAACGAACCGCTCCAGGGTTCGTTTGAAAGTGTACCGAGACCACCTCTTCAAGCAGGTCTCGGTACGCTTATTTGGTTCGCTTTTGGTGCGCACTCGAGTACGATTGCTGCATTCTCACCTGCCCAAACGAACTGTACCAAAAGGGGAAACTCTAGTGCGATTCAACCGAACTAAATAAGGCAGGTGTGAAAGCACCCTAACTCTAAACTCATATTTAGAATGCACAGAGTTTAGAATGGAACTGGCAGTATTTAATCCAAATTTTTAAATCACTCATCATAACTAAAATGGAATCAGTTCTAAAAGTTCTAAAGAGGTTTAAAAAACTCCAGAGAGATGTTCTAAACCTTCCAGTGAATCAGTTTACCAGAACTCGCATAATTTATTGTACACCATAAAGAACTGATGACAGCTACAGTATAAGCCTCATGAACCTTTTAATGGTCACAATGCACTTAAGTAATGTTCAATGTCATTCAGAAGAATGATCCTGCAAGGTGTGTTTGGGTCCATTGTCTTTCTTCACCTCGTTTTACATGATCAACTTGAGCATGCCTTTTCTCCACAAGTGCCTAGAGAGCCTTGAGGATTTGAAAAACTACACACATTCAAAGACAGATGAAATAATCTATGAGGTCGTAACCTCTTTTCAGACAAGGGTGATTGATATCTCCATGCAGACTTTGACTTGGTTAATAAAATGGAATATTGCTTAAGAAATATTTGAATAAACCACAGTTTCCACACCAAAATCACCACTTCTGGAAAACCTGCAGATATTATCAATAATAAAAATGGAAGTTGCTGCAACCGGGGAAGCACTGTAGCGGTCTTGCATAATAAATGAGTTACCTCAGACACACGCACACAATAAGAAGCAGTGTTGTTACCTTGGTTCAGATGCACTGTATTTGGGAGCACAGTCCTTTAAGAAAGTGTTATGATGAGGTTTCAGTGCAATTCTGAACAACTAAAACAACATCCACTTAAAATAAAAGGGGTAGTTCACACAAACATTTCAGTTCAGTCATTATTTACTCAACACTACTCATTAGCATCCTAGTTTTTTTTCTTCTGTTGGACACGAAATAAGTTTTCTTATGTAACCACTGACTTCCATAGCTTTAATTTTGCCTACTATTGAAATTAATGGTCAAAAGTTTTTACCTTTATCCACAGTATCTTCCTTAGTGTTAAAAGACACTCGGGTGATCAATGGGTGAGTAAATGATGACAGAAGATTAATTTTTTAAGTGAACTATCTCTTTAATATCAGTGGATGTTGTTTGAACATCCAATTGAAGGAGAGTGAATAGTGTGTGACTTAACATTCGTAGGTGAACCATCCCTTTAACAGTCTTTAGTCAAGTTATCAGGACGTGATCTCTTGAGTAAAATCACATTCGTTTATAACAGGGGTTCTCAACTGGTTTGGCCATATAGGACCCACATGTTGACATGGTCATCAAGCCGCGACCCAAATTTTTAGGAACTATAATACAATTTTAGGAATTGTAATTAATTTGTATTTATTTGTTAACATACACAAATAGTGACAGATACATCATAAGAAAATCCCCAAGACTTACAAATAAACTATTTTTCATTGCTGTTATTTAACAAAATGTATCAAATTATAGAAATATTACAAAGTAAAAATGACAAATACTGTAAACAGTGGTTGGGGTAAGGAAAGGTTCAGTTACCATGAACTGATCTGTTAATAAAACATGTTGTCTGGTTTCTAAATGTCGTTTTAATTTAGGAGGTTTCGTGCTCTCTCTTGTGAGAGCACCTCACTACTTATGAGACACTAGCTATGTTTCCATCCAAAAATGCGAATGAACTTTATGCGCAAAACTGGATTATTGCATAAAAGTTGTGCGAATGAAGCATCGTTTCCATCCAACGAGTCAAAGCGAACAAAATCGTCACTTCCTGATTAACTGGCGCCAAATATCAACAGTAAAAACTGCATTTGCTGCAGTAGGAGAAGCTGCATCAATCTTTTCTAAATGAATGCGCCTCAGAAGACAATCCTGATAAGCAGTGAGCGCGCAGTGGCGTTTGAAGGTGTGAGACGCGGCCAGGCGCTCTTGATTCTGGAGGTCATTAGTAATATAATAACATTAATACTGAAATGGCAGGGCATTTTATAAAGACCAAAATAACATTTCAGATGTTTTATAATGTGCTCAGCCTGACGTTTTGTCCATTCACACACATTTTAAGCATCACATGATCTCCTTCAGCAAAATCACATGACCTTTTTTAATGCGCATGCTGGAGTTTGTGCGGTAAAAGTGTTTCCATAGTAGTTTATGCGCATCTTTTCTTATCGAATAAAAAGTTTATCCTACCCAGTTAGGCGCATACGTTTTTTATGCGCATTTTCAAAATTTATGCGCATCATGGCGTTTCCATCAACTGGTTTTTTATGCACATTTGCAAAATACGCATAAAATAGGTGGATGGAAACATCGCTACTGAGGCTTTAAGTCTTTTTTGCCGTCAATATATGTAAATATCTACTTTACATAATTGGAGTCTACTTGTGCTTTGACAAATTTGTTGCTGCAATTAAATGATATTTCACATGTCAAACGGTATGATTGTCGTGCACGCATTTTAAAATAAAATTAAAAATAAGTAAAAAATTAAACTTTTGTTGTTTTTTTGACCACACACTCTGCAACTCACTGAAAATGTTCCTGCGACTCACTTTTGGGTCGCGACCCACCAGTTGAGAAACACAGGTTCATAACAAATAAAATTGTATTTGAGGATTGAGTTTTATTGCAGTTTATGTAAAGGTATCTGCCTAATTTAAGCATTAATATTTTTAAACAGATATATTAAGTATACTTTGTGTGAAATTATTCAAAATCAGTCAAATAATTTTTCCTATGATTGAATACTTTTCCTACAAAAGGATATATAAATATTAAGTCTGTTTTTAGATGTCTCCATTTTCCATCCACAGTGACACGGAGCAGCAGTGCTTTAAAACCAAAACGGTCTCTTGAGCGTTTCCAAAACACTCCAATTTCAGGGCTTGAAAACTCCTGGGTAGTGTGGAAGGCGTAACCCTAGCAGAACCAATGTGTTTTAAAACTAAAATGTATTAGTGTAAATTGGGCCTGAAACTTGATGCCAAGCCATATGCTAAGAATTACTGATAACTTAAAGTCCTCATCTGGAGCTTGACTTCCCATCTTAAAAGTACTATTTAATAGATGTCTAATCTGTTTCTATAAAGAGTTTATAAAAATACCCATGTACGTGTGTGGACATGACCTAAAATGACCTGATCCTGCTGTGAATTAAATGTTTACTGCTGCGTGACATGTATGTTAGACTGACTCAATGTGAATTTGAGAATGAATACAAGCTATTTTTAGATATGCAGGCTTTTCTATTTTAGACCAGAATCTTTTATAAGCAAATCAAAGCTCATTTCTCTCTCTCTCTTTCATCTTTTAG